CAGAGTTTAGGTCCTGACCCTTCTCCCAGGTTTTTCTTTTTAAATGCTTCTTTTTTAGAGATCCTACAGTTTATTATAAAGTCAGAGTTTAGGTCCTGACCCTTCTCCCAGGTTTTTCTTTTTAAATGCTTCTTTTTTAGGGATCCTGCAGTTTATTATAAAGTCTTCTGAGTGAGTGAATACTTTTATACGATTTTATTAAATTTCTCTTTGGAGCTTCTCTTGGTTTTTGTTTTTACTTTGTTTTGTTTTTGAGAGAGAGAACGTGCGTGCGTGCACGCATGCAAGGGGGAAGGGGAGGGGCAGAGGGGGAGAGAGAGAGAGAGAATCTTAAGTAGGCTCCATGCTCAGCTCAGAGCGCAATGCGGGGCTTGAGCTCACAATCCTGAGATCATGACCTGAGCCGAGATCAAGAATCAGATGCTTAACTGACTGAGCCATCCAGGCTCCCCTGGAGCTTCTCTTGGTTTGAGGGGCATTTTTCTACCAGTTTCTGAGCACAGGGATGCTGGTAATAGTTTATATAGTTTGGCCAGTATTCCCACATTTCACCCTGACTTATTGCTAAACTTTAAGGCCAATGCAAGAATATCTTGGGCACTTACTTACTCTCTGGGCACACAAAGTGGTCAACAGTCTACGGTTGTAGAATGGCCTGGGCAGAAGAGTAATTTAAGATAGGCCCCAGATTCTTTTTGAGGTGATGAAATGTTCTGGAAATTGGTAATGGTGATGGTTGTACAACTCTTAATATGCTAAAAACCACTGAATTTTTAAAAATGTGTAGGGGATAGGGGGCACCTGGGTGGCTCAGTCGGTTAGGCATCCGACTCCTGATTTTGGCTCAGGTCATGATCTCAGGGTGGTGAGATCAAGCCTCACATTGGGCTCTGTGCTGAGCATGGAGCCTGCTTAAGATTCTCTTTCCCTCTCTCTCTACCCTTACCCCCACTCTCTCTCTCTCTAAAAAAAATGTATAGGGGATAAAAAAACAAATCATTCTTATTTGAGAACTTGTTTGGAACTCAGTTATACCAGAAAGAGATATATACAAAGATTAATTTTCCTTCAGGGGCGCCTGGGTGGCTCAGTTGGTTAATCGACTGCCTTTGGCTCAGGTCATGATCCTGGAGTCCCGGGATCGAGTCCCGCATCGGGCTCCCTGCTCAGC